GTCACGATATGGTATGGGCTTGGGAGAGCCCGAGTTAAGTCCCGAACCTAGACTTAGCACGTACCAGGCGAGCCCCCCTTTTTTGCATGTTGTTTAAAAAAGGGCTCGGGAGTTCGGTCGCGACACTCAGTTTGTTAGAAACCCTAGAAATTGAAAGGGATAGTCATCCGTAGAAACTGCCTCTCATTGTCTGATTTAGTTGGCGGCTTGCATATATGGAGGTTATATAAGCTATGTTTCTGAAGAGAGCTTATATCTAGAAAATCTTGACTTTGTTGTTGAGATGCCTGGACAAGGAAACCCTAATTATAATATGATAAGTTGATGGCTCTCTCTCTCTCTCTCTCTCTCTCTCTCTCTCTCTCTCTCTCTCTCTCTCTCTCTCTCTCTCTCTCTCTCAAACACACGCACATGCTCGCGCACAATCAAGTTAATCGACGATGGTGCTAACGGAAAAGCTAAAGCCAGTATAGAGTTTGTAAAAGCGACCAATTTGCAAGGAAACCAGCACATACTTGCCTTCATGAAATGTGTGCCTGAGTTCACGTTACCAGTCCATTTTTTACATGTCCATAATAGTCCCTTGACAATGGCACAAGAGGGTGAGATGTATGTGAATTTGTTGCTTAGAATTAGTTCATCAAAGAACAATAGAGTGGTTCCGGTTGTTCTACAAGCGTATGATGGATTGAGTCTAACCAAGAAAAACCCAACAGGAGTGGGAGATCTCGATTTCAAGATTTACCCTACCCATAATGCAAGGTTGAGTACATGAGGATTCAAGAAGATACCATATTTTTCACTTGATCACTTTTATTCAAAGTGAGGAGTGCGTTCTTTTGACTAGATTGGGAAGATGGATTGAATACGATGAGAGGATACTGTGTTAGTATATATATGTCTCACCGTACTCAAAAAAGAAAAGACTCGTCAGTTGACTTCATAGTGTAAATCCCAAGGTTCTAGTATTTAATGTCTGCATGTTTATGTCATCATGATTTAGGTGGGACATAGCTAAAACATAGGATATAGTAAGAATCCAAGGGAAGAATTGAAAGTGGAGAAAGCTACAAACAAGAAAATCATCCCTTCTCTCGAAATACATCATTTACTTTCTCCTTCTGGTGCTTTGTATCCTCCAGTATCAAAATTCTAGCTTTATATTTCAAATGATCTACACTTGATGCTTACAGCCTATGAACCTTTAAAATGATATAAACTCTTTAGATGTAAGGATATATTACATTTGAAATTTACCCTCTTAAAAAAGGGACACATCAGCACATTATAAATCTAGATGGGATTGGGCCTTTTGCAATTGAAGATGTAGATCATTACACCATAGTAGCGATTTACCCCAGCTATTAATCATTGATTTCCACCCGGATATCAGTTGAACTGCACAAGTGAACTAAGAATTCGGCAGCTGATGCATAGGTGAACTGCATAAATCAGGAAACTTCTTAGCAATTTATTGATATTAATCTCAATTATAACCTTTCTGATGCATAGGTGAACAACATAGGTTTCACCCGGAAATCAAGACATTAATTGCAATTATCATTAGGAACTTTTGAATGATTCAGAATAATGCTAAGCTTCTTATCTGGGAACATCATATCGTGTATTGTTTTACCTTTTATTTTTCGAAGTTTACAAAACTATCTCTAATTCATTTTCACATGTTTTTGCAGGTATTATTTAGTGCCGGTACGGAGGCCATAGTAACTGCTCTAGAATGGACAATGTCTCTTCTAATAAATTGTTAAAATATATCTCAAATTTGAGCTGTTACGAAACCCGACCCAATTGGATAAGAAATAAATGCAAAAAATTTCTCTTTAATGGCATATGGATATATGCATGGAGACATTAGAGAGTTTATTTTATTTGGTTGGACTCTAATTGCTTAACTCTTTTAACCGCACAAAAAGAAAAAGAAGACAGAAGTCATCTGCCACTACAAGACAAGGAAGTGGCCACGTTTCCTATACTTTATGTGTGGGGGATCAGCTAGGGTTTAAGAAGAAAGAAGAAAACAAAGTACAAGATATAGGGTTTTCTTTTTACTCTAGCTTAGGTTGTCCTTTTCTCTTGAAGAATGGCCGCCAGTGGACGGTCGAAAGGAAGCCGCACGAAGAACAAGAAGAAAGAAGCTAGACGTGCGGTCCTTCGAATGAGAGCCGCTCGAAGAGGAGAGAAAGAACACACGAAGTTCTTGGTTTTTCAGTCGCACGGATGTGAACGCGTGAATTTATGTTGTGAGTCTTTTACATCTAAAATAAGTTATTTATTTATAAACATTTTGGACTTCTATATTAATTAGGTGTAGGAAACACTCAAGCATGTGAGCGATTATAAACTCTGATTTTTTTATTGTGAATTATTTGTTGTTGGCTCTCCTTATGGATATAGATACTGACACTCTTACAGAACTATGTAAATCTTCGGTGTCTTTTGATGTTCCTCGTTCATTTCTCTAGCTCTCCCACATTGATTTAATTGAAAATCCTGTTTAATTTCCATGTTCATTTTATAACAATTGGTATCGAAGCTTATAGATAGGATTTATGGATTTTGATATGGGATATTTGCTTGTCTGATTATTATCTGGAAATTCAGTTATTACAATTATGTTTGCAGCAAAAATAGAAATTGAGAATTTTAACGGAATGAATAATTTTGGATTATGGAGTGTTAAGATGAAGGCGCTATTAACAACTCAGGGTTTAATGATAAGTTGCCCGAAACAATGAAAGATGCCGAAAAGGATGTGCTAATGAGGAAGGTAAGAGTATAATCTTGTTGAATCTATCGGATGATGTGTTAATAGAGGTAGTAGTGGAGAAAGATGTCGCGGTGTTTGCGAAATCTCTTACAAAAGAATCACAGAAAATTCTTAAATTGAAATATGATTTATGGAAGGTTCTATGTTTGATGAATTGAATCGTGAAAATGATATGATTTGGTTATTAAACCTGAGTTTTAAGATGGTTTTTGGTTTTGGTTGTGGGTTATTCGAGATTGAGGTTAGTGGATTATGCTCATGTCTCTATGATTAAAACCCATTGAGAGTAAGTACGCATATTGTTATTAGGACATCCTTATAGACCGAACTACCGGCAAATATAGGTAGAGACCTAACCAATGGTGGGAAACTTGATCGCCTTTGTCCCAAGCGCTAAGCGTGACCATAGTTAGATATTGAGCATTAGATTAGTTGATAGAAAAGACCATTAACATTTAATTTGATTGAAATTGATTGATCGAATAGACCATCTGTGGTTGATTTGTTATTATAAATTGATATAGTCGATTAATCTTATACGTAAAAAGTTTTGTTAGAAAGATATCATCTACTTTCAATATTTCATGAATTTCGTACACTGAATTTAGGATTGATGAGTTATAATATTGGTTTATAAAGATGCATAGTGAATATTCGATCTGCTTAGAAAATATGTATTACTCAATGGGTTGCTCATTTTATTCATGTTACTTGTTTTTCAAGTTCTTCAACTAGCCACAAATAAGATGAGAGCATTTATGTTTTCAGGGGGACATTTTAGATAAGAGAAAATGACACAAACAGTCCTTGAACTTTAGCCTAATGTATAATGTGGTCCTTAAACTTTTAATTTGTTCAATGTAGTCATTGAACTTTAACCCAATGTGTAATGTGATTCCTCAACTTTTAATTTGTTCAATGTCATCCTTGAACTTTTGATACATGTTTAATTTAATTTCTGAACTATATAAAAATGTTCAATGTAATCATTCCATTAATTCGAGTTCAAGGACTACATTGAATATTTTTATGTAATTCAGGGATTACATTGAACATGTACTAAAAGTCCAGATGTCACATTTAATAAATTAAAAGTTCATAAACTACATTGAACATTAGATTAAAGTTCAATCACTCCTTAGCCTACTCAAAGAGCTTATAAGCCCATTCTTGCTGTTGCTGTCGAAACTGTTGCTATCAGACTTCGTTTTTCAAAGATGAACCTAGTTTGATACCAACTAACGTGGTGCAAACAAGTGGCGTAAACCAAGAACGAAGCAATGACCATTTTCTTAGTTTCTTTTTTTCTTCCCTTTAATTTTTCAGAAGAGGAAAATAATAAAAAATCAATCGTTTTCTTTAGATAAATCTGTCATCTCTACATTTAATCGTGACACAATTCCACCGTGCACGCAACTTCATATGAACCCCCTGTTTGCTAGAGGAAAATTACAAAAAAAAAAATCTCAAACATGTTACACTTGTGCCAATTTAGTTCTAAACCTTTTAATTGTGCCGATTGAGTCCTAAACCTTTTCATATTTTACCAATTGAATCCATCATACAAATTTTGATTGAAAATCATTGACGTGGACGCTGGCAGTCCTACGTGGCACGACCAGCGCTGTCATGGGCCTAGATCTGGCGGCACAGGCTGCAATGCCTTCGCCCAGTGCTAGCGAAGGCGTCCTAAGTTCAGAAACCACCCATATTATTATCCACCTTAGAAACTATAAAATTATATAAGAGTTTGACCTCGTCGAAAACCTCCCGCACGCACATACACATACAAATATCAACGGGAAAGCAGCTCGCTCATAAAACGAGATGGCCGAAAGGAAAATGGGCTGGCTTGGGCGAGGTCCTTACACAAGAAAGCTCCGCCCGCCAAACCTTGGCCAGAGCCCCGGCACGGCTGGCTCGAACATTCCAAAGTAAATTCACCGCGCGACGTATTAGCAGGCTTGGACAACACATTAGGCCCGGACATCGGGTGTGCCCCGGCGATCACCTCCAACACAAAACTCGGCCATGCTCCTTCCTCAGCTCCGCATCAGCTCGGCTCTCCGGAGAAGGGAAGCGGGCCAAGCATTGGGCCTTCCGAGCCCAATGTTCTTGGGCCTAGTGGGCCTCACGGCCCATCGCGCACCGATCCATCCAGCTTCCCTCTGCAATTTCCCTTCTTTAACACGGACTCACTCCTCCCCCTCCACTCCTTGCATCTCTCTCTCGCTCTTCTCTGTGCAGTCGCTCTGTCTCGGAGGGTTTTGGTTCTGCACGCCTTCCTCTCTGCGCAGCAGGCTCGCTTCGCTATTCCCTTTCGCCAACCAGGTCCTCCCTCCCTCCCTCTCTCGCTCTCTCTCTCTCTCTCTCTCTCTCTGCGCTGAGCATGTGTTGATGATTGGCGGTTCAGTTTCACCGCGCGCACTGCTTGGTGACCGCACAACTGGGTGTTTGTCTGATAAACGAAAAGCTTCGGGTATTCGTTGAAATCCGAGGTTCTACCGCCGCGGGCTGGCTGTGCCTTCCTGTTCTTTGTGTCTGCGATGGAACCTGTGCGTGACCTTTTGGCTTCTTTTCTTATTTGAAGGGGAAATTTCGTTTGCGTCGTGGGGGTTTTTTTTTCTTTGGAAGAATTGGTTTAGTGCGTGGAGTGTTAAAGGTTTCTCTTTTGTAAGTCTTGTGCTTCCGGTTGCGATTAGTAACGTTTGCCCTTATTGCGCTTTGAAACCCATGTCTCGCATTCGATCATTGTCGTGTTTTGCTGTATCCTTTGTTCAATTGGATCTGGATTTCTTTGGATTATGGTTTTCAGACACATGCTGGGACAACCATGTGGCCGTAACCATTAAAAAGTTTTAATTTTTTTTTCCTTCTTGCAGGTTCCATAATGTCTTGGAGTACAATTGAGTCTGACCCTGGTGAGTTTTCCATTGAAGACCTCGCTTTAAGGTTTTTTTATTGATTCGCATGCATGGTGTGATCTGTGAAAGCCTTTATTTCGCAGAATTTATTTTGTGGTTGTAAGTATATTGAGCTTGATGATGTTTTTTACTAGTTTAGATACCGGTCATGTGTTTGCAGGTAGTCCACATTGTGGTGACAATTGGACGGAAATTAAGAGAACTTGGGAAACTGAAAAAAATAAGCAAATGAGTGAACAGAATAAGAAGATTCGAGCTTCTAATTCTAGTGAAGGGTCTGCCACATATGCTAGGGGCTCTATCAACATCATCAACATCGGGGAGCATAGAAAAAGAATGGTAAGTCTGTTAAACATGTTGTAAGTGAATTTAATTCAATTGCTCATTTATGTTTATATTTTGTAGGCAGATAAATTGGGGACGAAATCGACATATACAGCTACATTTGAACGCACATTTCAAAAAAAAGATAAAACATGGACTGGCGATCGAGCAAAAGCTATTAAGGTATGTAAGGTTATAGTTGAAGGTATGTAAGTTTATGGAAACTAGAATGAAAAATATGAATGCTTTTAATATTTATGGTACTTATCTATATGAAGTTCTTTTATTTTCATCTATATTGTTAATGTAGAAAAAATATGATGAACTTTTAATGAGTACTGCTAGTGGTAGAATGGTGTTGCTGCGTCTGAGCCATCAGTTAACAGTATGGCATTATGGGTGAAGGTAACGGGTGGGATGAAAAGAGGAAAAATATCTGCTGCAACTTCATCCTCCAATGCGGCTGTTTCAAGGATTACACGATTTAAGGAGCAAATGACCCAAAAATTGAGCCAACTGAATCATTTATTTGTAAAGCAGGACGAAGAAATAAGAGTGCTCCAACAACAAATGAAATTAGTCTTGCGACACCTCAACCTGGATCACGATGAGGTTCCTCCTGTACCTCCGACTAATCCAATAGGTGATGGGCATAATGATGAGTGACATGATGATGATGACATTGCTGATGATGATGATGATTTTGTCAGTCCTTGCTAGTTAAAGTTTCCATTTTCATATCATTATAATATTTTTAAGCACTCAATTTTGAGCACTATGTATTTCATCATCATATCATTATGTATTTAAGCACTAATTTTTTATGTTATTAATTGCTTAATCAATGTTAAATATAAACTCTAGAAAATAATTTTGCTGTTAATTATATTTAAAATTGAAATCGTCCCTAAACAACATTCGTCGTTTACTTTGTCGCTAAAGAATTAATAAAAATTCGTCGCTAAATTCGTTTCGGAACGATGTCCGTGGCAAAAGTAAAAAAATTTCGTGACAAATTAGCGATGAATTTGCCACGAATAAGTTCGTCGCAAATTACTGACCAAAAAAAAAAATTCGTAGCAAATTAGCGACGAATTTTGCCACGAATATATTTCGTCACAATTTAGCGATGAAAATTGAAATTTTTCGTCGCTAAATTTTGCGATGCCGAATTGGCGACGAATTTTTTTTCGTTGCAAATTTCATTGCAATTTTGTTTAGTGACGAATTTTTCCATTTTTTTTCTTGGTAAAATTTGTCACTAAAACCTACTTTTTTTGTAGTGATCTCTACTTTTAATCGTGACACAATTCAACCGTGCATGCAACTTCATATGAACCCCCTATTTGCTAGAGGAAAATTACAAAAAAAAAAGTCTCAAATCTCTTACACTTGTGCTAATTTAGTTCTAAATCTTTTAATTGTGTCAATTGAATCATAAACTTTTTCAAGTTTTACCAATTGAATCTATCCTATCAATTTTGATTAAAAATCATTGACGTGGATGCTGATAGTCCTACGTAGCACGGTCAGCGCTGACGTGGGCCTAGACCTGGCGAGGATGTCGCAACCTGCGCCCTATCTGGGCGAGGCTATGATGCCTTCGCCCAGTGTTGGCGAGGGCATCCTAAGTTCAGAAACCACCCATATTATTATCCAACTTAGAAACTATAAAATTATATAAGAGTTTGACCTCGCCGAAAACCTCCTGTGCGCATACACACACAAATATCAACGGGAGAGCAGCTCGCTCATAAAACGAGATGGCCGAAAGGAAAATGGGCTGGCTTGGGCGAGATCCTCATACAAGAAACCTCTGCTCGCCAAACCTTGGCCAGAGCCTCGGCACGGCTGACTCGAACATTGCAAAGTAAATTCGCCGTGCGACATATTAGCAGGCTTGGACAACACATTAGGTCCGAACATGGGGTGTGTGCCCCGGCGATCACCTCCAACACAAAACCCGGCCATGCTCCTTCTACAGTTCCGCATCAGTTCGGCTGTCCGGAGGAGGGAAGCGGGGCCACGTAATGGGCCTTCCGAGCCCAATGTGTGTTGGGCCTAGTGGGCCTCACGGCCCATCTTGCACCGATCCATCCAGCTTCCCCCTGCAATTTCCCTTCTTTAACACGGACTCACTCGTCCCCCTCCACTCCTTGCATCTCTCTCTCTCTCTCTCTCTCGCTCTTCTTTGTGCAGTCGCTCTGTCTCGGAGGGTTTTGGTTCTGCACGCCTTCCTCTCTGCGCAGCAGACTCGCTTCGCTATTCCCCTTCGCCAACCAGGTCCTCCCTCCCTCCCTCTTTCTCTCTCTCTCTCTGTGCGCTGAGCATGTGTTGATGATTGGCGGTTCAGTTTCACCTCGTGCACTGCTTGGTGACGGATTGTCTCGTGATTGATCCAACTGGGTGCTTGTCTGATCAACGAAAAGCTTCGGGTATTCGTGGATATCCGAGGTTCTACCGCCGCGGGCTGGCTGTGCCTTCCTGTTCTCCGTGTGTGCGATGGAACCTGTGCATGACCTTTTGGCTTCTTTTATTGTTTGAAGGGGAAATTTCGTTTGCGTCGTGGGTTTTTTCTTCTTCTTTTTTGGAAGAATTGGTTTAGTGCGTGGAGTGTTAAAGGTTTCTCTTTTGTAAGTCTTGCGCTTCCGGTTGAGATTAGTAACGTTTGCCCTTATTGCGCTTTGAAACCCGTGTCTCGCATTCGATCATCTGTATCCTTTGTTGCAATTGGATCTGAATTTCTTTGGATTATGGTTTTAAGACACATGCTGGGACAACCATATGGCCGTAATCTTTAAAAAGTTTTAATTTTTTTTTTCTTGCAGGTTCCATAATGTCTTGGTGTACGATTGAGTCTGACCCTGGTGAGTTTTCCATTTAAGACCTCGCTTTAAGTTTTTTTATTGATTCGCGTGCATGGTGCGAACTGGGAAAGCCTTTATTTTGTAGAATCTATTTTGTGGTTGTAAGTATATTGAGCTTGATGATGTTTTTTACTAGTTTAGATATCAGTCATGTGTTTGCAGGTATTGGTGCCAATGCGTAGAGATAGCGGCTTTGCTAATGTGATTGAATCTTGTGTCCACATTCTGCTTTGTCTGTTTGAACCCTTTTGAGTTAAAAGTTGAAACGTTATTCTCTCTCTTTGGAAGACTATAATCACAATATAGGAATTCAGACTCAGAAATTTGGCAGTGGGGGGGTTGGACAAGAAGAGCTCTTGAGGCTATATCTAATGAGTTGGAAACTTGAGCAAGTTGTGCAAATGATTACGTTGTATTTATGTGCTGTGCCATTTCCTCAGATTGTGTCTGCCCACTATAGATAGTGAATTATTTTGTTCTGCGAGCATAACTTTAATAATGTACATGACCCTTTGAGAGGTTTGATAGGTTGCATCCTGTAAGTTGAATTGATTTTGCTTTTGATTTGTTAGATTAGAATGTCAATGCATCTTCAAAAATGCTCAAGTAAGGCAGGACCATGAGAGATTTTGCAACTGTCTTAGTGTTTTGCTTTGATATTATAATTTGCTCATCAGAATATGTTGGTCTATTTATGAAATAACCGGTCCTAAAGCATCATGCAAAATGGTTGCGCCAATATGCATGATTATTTAGGTAATAAGATTTCATCTTATGTCCTTGACTTAAGTCTAATCTTAAACGAACCTGATCATTAATTAGGCAATAAGATAAAACCATGAATGGTGCAAGAAGAACAAGGGGCTTTGTTTTCAATTGCACACTTGAGTAACTTGCAGTCTTCAGTGTTTTGATGACTTGATTGGGGATGTTTGTAATTTTAGATGTCATTAATTGTTGCTAGAAAGGTGAGGGGCTGTTGGGCATGAGCCTTGAGAATTCTGTCATTCTACTCATCGCCAGAACTCTAATTTTGAGATGCTTGTGCATCTGCATATTTATGCACAATATATGTGCTTTCTGCATTTTAAATACGAGCCTAATGTCTTCTTGCATTCCAGGTGTGTTTACAGAACTTATACAGCAGATGCAGGTGAAAGGGGTCCAGGTAATTGTCTTGGATCACAAACAATTGCACTATATGATTTTGTGTTCAGTTCTTGTGGCTTTATGCTTGAGTGAGATGGTGTCGAGAAAGTTGTGCCATCTGTCCTTTTGATGTTTGCTTGGATGTTCTTGGTTTTCTCAACATTTCTGTTTATCACTAGGTTTTCTAGACTGCAGTGCCACAGCAATAGTTGATTATATTTGCATATAACCATCTGTGGAACTTCATTATGTGGGTATAATATCGATAGATGAACAAGTGTGGTCGAAAATTTAGGGTGGTTGTTCTGGGGCTCAGAATGGAGTAGGTCGGCAGCAGAGATTCATAGGTGCCACTTAGCAAAGTACAAGGTTTAAGTGGTCATTTGACTGGAAGTTCTGAATCTTGCTTTACAAAAAGAGCTATAATCCAGGGAAAACATAAACACCTTCTGCTTAACTCTTACAATTGCACCACACAGAAGGGTGTCTAAAATTTTGGACAATAAGAGTAAATGCTTTGCTGTTTTCCCCTCAGAGTGGAAGTGCTTAAAGTATCTATCCTTACCAAGAAGGTATAGGCCATTATTTACAAAGTATGAAGTGTCACGCTCTTATCAATTTGTCTTACAAGGAAAAAGATAACACCATGAAATTTTTTGCAGAAAACAAATTCTAGTTAGCTAAAATCAGGGGAATGGTAGAATAAACTTGACCTATTTAAAAACTCCACGGAATTCATGAATAATCTGAAATGTTATCTGGTAGTGTACAAACTATAAGTTCTAATGAAATTGCAAGAACTTAAATGGGTTAGCCTAAAGCAGACCTCTTTAAATGCTCAATGTGGGATTCATGTATAATACGAAATGTTATCTGTCAATGTATAACCTATAAATTCGAGGAGTGAGAGTGTAAGAACTTAAATGGGTTAGCCAAACAGTGCATAGGTATTGTCACATCCACTTTAAGTCCGAAGTCATTCATTTTGGCCCACTTGCTTGGTTTTCAGTGTTACTACTTTACCCTAAAAGTTGCACTTTTTGTTATAGGCATGATTCAAGTTCGGTTCGTCTCTTTTTTATGTCAACTCAGGACGAGTCTTCTAGGTCATCTATGGTTGTAGTTTGAGAAATGAAGTGTGCGCACAGCTATTAGATCTTTTTTAGCACCCTTCCATCAACATCTCCAGCATATAGAAAGCAAGAATGTGTGATATGTGTCTTGTTATGATTATGCAGGTTGAGGAGTTGTATTCCTTGGACCTTGACTCATTGAACAATCTCAGGTTCATGTTCTTCGATACTTCAGTTCTATATTATTATCTACCTGTTTTAGAAGCAACTCATAGGCTCATCCATTCATATCTGGTGAAGTTCTTAAGCAATTTGTGTTCTTCAACATGATAGGCCTGTATATGGATTGATTTTCCTTTTCAAATGGCGCCCTGGGGAAAAGGATGACCGTGTTGTCATAAAGGATCCAAACCCTAATTTATTTTTCGCCAGTCAGGTGATTTTTAGTGGTTAATTCATTCTGCTAGACATTGATGGTTTTTTAGCTTCATACTTCTTCTCATTCTCTCCAACATTAATGATGATTTCTATAGGTTATTAACAATGCATGTGCAACCCAAGCAATACTGTCCATCCTGATGAATTGTCCGGACATAGATATTGGTCCTGAATTGTCAAAGCTGAAAGAATTCACGAGAAATTTTCCACCTGAGCTGAAAGGTCTGGCAATAAATAACAGTGAAGCTATCCGTACTGCTCATAACAGTTTTGCAAGACCTGAGCCTTTTGTTCCGGAGGAACAGAAGAATGCCACTAAAGATGATGATGTGTACCATTTCATAAGTTATTTGCCTGTCGATGGAGTATTATATGAACTTGATGGATTAAAGGAGGGACCTATCAGCCTTGGTCAATGTCCTGGTGGGCCTGGTGACATGGATTGGCTTCAGATGGTGCAACCAGTGATCCAGGAACGGATTGAGAGGTATTCGAGAAGTGAAATAAGGTTCAACCTGCTGGCGGTTATCAAGAATAGGAGAGAACTATATACTGCTGAAGTTAAGGAGTTGCAGAAGAAGAGGGAGCGTATATTGCAGCAGATAGCTGCTTTGCAGGCGGAGAGGCTGGTGGATAATAGCAACTATGAAGCACTCAATGAATCACTGTCAGAGACAAACGCTTCGATTGAGGCCGCTACTGAGAAGATTTTGATGGAGGAGGAGAAGTTCAAGAAGTGGAGAACCGAGAATATCCGTAGAAAACACAATTACATTCCTTTCCTGTTCAACTTCCTCAAGCTTCTTGCTGAGAAGAAGCAGCTAAAGCCACTCATCGAGAAGGCCAAGCACAAATCAAGCAACTCTAGGTGATGGGTGCTCGCTAAGGTAACAAGTAGCTCCAAGCAATCTGATGAAAAGCGCTCTTTCAAGGTGGGAATTTTTTTTTCTGTCCTTCATGTCTTTCGGGGCATTTCCATTCGGGGAGATTTTGGTTAAGTAATTTAATGTCTGACCCTAAGTCCTGATTCTACTCTACATGCTGGGATTTCTGTCAGCAAGAGAAAAAGCTTATAGGTCTTTCTCTTTTTCGACTCCGTGCCAGATTTCTGTAGGATTGATGATGCTTGGATTTTATGTATAGGAACAGTAGTAAATGCACCGAGGCTGGGATAGCCCACCAACTGCATCGAAAGAAACATACCTGATTGTGAAGTCATTGTCCCTCTTTCATGACCAAACTGATGGTGATGATGATGTTCAAGTGTCTTTCGTGTTTCGGAATGACTCTCTGCTAGTGGTGGCAATCGACTTGCATGATGCGATGAGTGCGCGACAATGGACTTTGGAAAATATTTTCTAAAAACAGTCATGCATATCAATTGAAATTATTAGTCAATGAAAAATGTTTTCATAATTGACAACAATTCACGTTTAAACGTTTTCGTGGACGATAAAAATATTATGTGTTCATTCGTCTTTTTTAGAGAAACGAGCGGTCTTTAGGAAAATATTTTTCAATTCATTCAGTTTTTTCGCGTAAATGGTCAAATGGGAATTTTTTTTTTCCTACTGTTTGCCATTGGCACGATTGCGGAATTTGCTCTTGATAGTTGGTGTATTGAAGTACATATGGGTGCGTGAAGGACGAATAAGCTATCGGTCCAAATCCAAGACTTCACTTTGTGCAAAATCCAATGGCTCTTCCTTAACCTCCGATGCACGCTAGCCTCTTATACTAAGAAAAGGGCAACGCAAAATTTTTCTTTGGAAACTGTCAAAACATCATGTAATTATCTAATTTCTCGACGATACCATACATTCCTCGAAAAGCGCTTAAAAAATGCCCCCAAGAGAGAGTGGCGAATTATGATTTCGTTATCCTTCCATACATGAAGACCAAAAATTGTAAAAAGGAATTAATTTACCCGATGATGCGACATACTTTGTCGGATATTAAATATTGCCTATTTAGTAAAAATCCGGTTATTTTTGCTCGTTACTTTATAAATTCATTCAATAAATCAATCTTAGAACCTCTTGGAAAGTGTCTTGAATTTACAAATTACCACCTAAGCCCACATTTCCTCCTTTTTTACATACTTTAGCCCCTTATATTATTGTTTCAACAGAAAAACACCCTTTTTTTCTTATTGGCTTGGCATCAACTGAAATCACCCGGCCCCACATCAGATCAGTCCAAAATAATAATTAACTTTTTCAAATCAATCTCCAAGTTCTAAGGGGCCTCTCTCAAAAGTCCCAAATTATTGAAAAAAAATCATTACCGAAATCAAATTAATTAGAAAAAAAAATTAATTTAAAGTGGGGTCATCAGATATGATGCCAGTCAAACCAAATTGAGAGGAGGTCCAGAAGCTGAAAAGTCTTAAGGCAGTTAGTGGAGAAAAGCAAGCACGCGAAGCAGGAGGAGGAGAAGACGACGACGACGACGAACCGGCAATTTCGATCGAAACCCGAAGCTGTTCGCGTCAAGATCGGAGCTTTCGAGAAACCCAAGAAACCCTTTGGGCTAGGGTTCGCGGGAGAGCCCTCGGAGCTCCGATGGAGCGGCTGCTTCAGGTACCGGCGGCCGATCACGGCGGCGGCGGCGGCAACAGCAGCATCCCCGCCGGCGGCGGCCAGACCGGGAAGGAGCAGCAGGCCGCCGGCGTCGGTATCCTCCTCCAGATCATGATGCTCGTCCTCTCCTTCGTGCTCGGCCACGTGCTCCGCCGCCACAAGTTCTATTATCTCCCCGAGGCCAGCGCTTCTCTTCTGATAGGTGCGTTTCGATGCTCCGATTCGCGCTTTCCTCGTGATTTTTGGTCGGTCGTTCTTTTGGTTGGGGCTTGGCGCAATTTTGGTGATGAGGACGTCGTGAATTTCGCAGGTCTGATCGTTGGTGGACTTGCTAATGTTTCGGACACTGAGACTAGCATCAGGTTTCTTACGCAGCCATTGCTTGTTTGGTACCCTGTGTCTTGCAGTTTCTGGGTTTTCTTTCTGACTCTTGTGGGTGTTGTTGCAGGACATGGTTCAACTTCCACGAGGAATTTTTCTTTCTGTTTTTGCTGCCTCCGATAATCTTATATCCTTGAAATAAGTTTTTTTTCTGCCCCTTAATTGTCAATTCTTCTGCTTGCTTTCTCGTTTCTAGCCTCCCAATAATGGGCATTTGGTTCTTCTTCTTGTTGTTTCCTTAAGAGCTTTGTGCTTACTCAGTCAGGATTTAGCTTAGCTCCCGTAAGTAATCCCTGCCTTTTCGTCTCCTATTATATACCTGTTAGAGATAGGGTCATGTGGCGGTTTATTCTCCATTCCTAACAATTGTCATGGTGATTTTGCAGAAACCTTTTTTCTCGAATTTCGGAGCCATCGTGACATTCGCTATATTTGGCACTTTCATAGCTTCTGTTGTCACGGGAGTTCTAGTGTGAGTAGCTAACTATGGTCACATTTAGACAGCTGCCTACTTTACGTTATAAGCAAATAAAATATCCAGCCTATGCCTGTTACAGATATCTTGGTGGAGTGATGTTTCTCATGTACAAACTCCCTTTTGTTGAGTGCCTCATGTTCGGTGCTCTTATATCAGCAACCGATCCTGTCACGGTTTTGTCCATATTTCAGGTACTTGTGTTCTTCAAGTTATTCAGCTAAGAAGTATTGACATGACCCTATGTAAATCATTCTATAGTGTGTACATTGGTAATTTGGCCGTTGGTAATCTGGTCACTGGTTTCATGAGGTGTCATTCACACTACATTCTGCAAACAATGTGTTCTGTGAAGTACATTGATTACAAGTTGATAATTTGTTGTGTCACGCAAAAAGTTCTGCTAATTCATGGATTAAAAAACACGAGTCTGTCTAATGTTTGAATTACTCCATAGTAGGATCTGGTTTCCAATTTAATTGACCTTTTTCAAATCCTTTTGAAACCCGTCCTCATTATTCCGAATTGCAATATTGTTGTAGGAGCTCGGAACAGATGTGAATCTATATGCCTTGGTTTTTGGAGAATCGGTGTTGAATGACGCAGTGAGTTTTAACAGCTGCATTCTAGTGCTTTTCTGAGAACATCTCTTGTTTAATAAAGCGCTGAAACATTCTTTTGGTGTGCCATGCCAAATTGCTAGATGGCCATTTCTTTGTACAGGTATCAATATTCGTAATTATTCTGTGCATTTGACCTCTTTTTGTATGGCAATTGAATCTATGACATCTTATGATGCAGGACGATGTCTTTGGTGAGACAAAATGCATCATCTACACAGAACTTCTTTATGGTGATTGTCAGGTTTCTTGAGACCTTTGTGGGTTCAATGTCTGCAGGTAATGTTTATAATCTGTTCACTATTGTGCACATTGAAATTTGAAGGGCCATTTGTTTGTGGATCCTAAGGATCTCATGTGTTAGTAGTCTCCTGTTTTGTACTTTCTCTTTTGGTTTATTATGTCTGATAAGAATAATCATGACTGTGCAGGAGTTGGAGTTGGTTTCATCTCTGCTTTGATATCCTTTCATGTCAATAATCTGTTCCTTATATGTCAATTGTCAGTAATGTATTTCCCGTGACCCCTAATAATTGAGTTTATTGTGAAGCCTTAATTGCCAGTACCTCTTCAAGTATGCAGGCTTAGATATTGACAAGTATGCATTCCTCCCTAGTATAATTTTTTACATGATTTATGATGTATTCCTATCCTTCTCATCTGTCTTTTTCTTATGTTCAGTCTCCAGAACCTAGAGTGCTGCCTCTTTGTTCTATTTCCGTATTTCTCGTAAGGATCTCCTGCATGTCTTATGAACAGCTTCCGCGTACCTGAGGATGCAATTCCGTTAATTAACTTAAAACCATATTATTTTAGGTACATGCTTGCAGAAGGACTTGGCCTTTCGGGAATTGTCTCGATATTGTTCACGGGCATGGTAAGTGACATGCACCTCTATTGTTTCTTCCATTTTGATAGAAAGGATAGTTTGACAGAATTGCTACTTTACTGTAGGTCATGAAGCATTACACATATTCAAACTTATCAGAAAATTCACAGCGATTTGTGTCGGCATTTTTTCATTTGATATCATCACTGGCAGAGACTTTCGTGTAAGGAACATTGACTTTTAGCTTTCTAATTTCCAACTTGCTGTGTAATCGTTTTTTGAATGATGGGCCGAAACTAAGTGCTTGTGTGATTTCTAGATTCATATACATGGGCTTTGATATTGCAATGGAACAGCACAGCTGGTCTCATGTTGGGTTTATCTTCTTCTCAATTGTATCCACCCCAACTTTGGTTATTTGGTTCTTTGCTACCACTTTGTTATGTGTATTGCTTGGTTCATTTTTTTAATTACCTGGTTTCCAGTTGTTTATCCTGAACTCGATCCTTTACTGCGCCAGTTATTCATTGTAGTTGCAAGGTAAACCTCATCTTATATCAATGACTTTAAGTTATCTATTTAAAAGGGGACCCATCCCATCTTTGAAGTGTATGATGACAATTTTCATGCTTGAATGTTCCTATGTTTCACGCAACTAACCAGGCTATGCATTATTTCCTGTAGGGCAGCAAATGTCTTTTCTTGTGCCTATCTAGTCAATTTGTCTCGACCTGCAACTCGTAAAATACCTGCAAAACATCAAAAAGCACTTTGGTACAGTGGTAAGGAAATGAACTGCTAATGATTCGTATCTTTTAAATTTTTGAAATTCTTGAAGCTGTCTGCATTTATGGTTTAATTAGGTCTCCGAGGTGCCATGGCTTTTGCTCTTGCTCTACAATCAGTTCATGATCTCCCAGAAGGGCATGGACAGACTATATTCACCGCGACCACTGCGATTGTTGTCCTAACAGTAAGCTAAATGATAGTTTTCTTCACAGTCAAACAATTTCAGTGAGTTAGGATGATCTTTCCCCATTTCTTTGTTAAAAAAAGCCGCAGTTTGTATCGGCTTATATTTTAGGTGTATTATGTTGATGACATAAGTATTTGAAAATTGAAATTGGGTTCTGAAAATGTTGCGTCTTCTGTTGATTGTCACTATGAGTGGATCATGTTCCCTTTTTAGGAAGAGCTTAAGCATTTTTAACATTATCATAGTCATATTCTGTAGAACTTCATTGCTCAAATTTTCTGCAGCAAAAATATACCAGATATAGGTTTGTGTGTTGTTTCTATCCAACATCATTTCGTTGATTCCACAGATTTTATGTGTCTCCATATTTCTTATTTAACTGTAGCTTTCTAAGAGTGCTAATTAATCTAGGTCTTGAGGCAATTTTCCAAGGAAATCTCTGTTTACTGATTGCCTTAAAATTGAAATGGCGCAATTTTAGAGATACTAGCAGGTCTGTTGTTTGTTATTGTACCTTAGTGAAATGATTGATTGGTCTGGACTTTGGAATATTAATCTTAAATATATAGTGGTTGGTTAAAAAACCCTTTGCGAACTTCTTTGCCCTGGAAATAGTTGTAATCTTCTGGCTTAGCCGTTAACAGCTTTTGCCTTTCAGTAATTGAGATAAATGACATTCACAGAGTTATGTGGAAAGGAATATGTAGACTGAGCTTTGAAATTCTTATGCTAGTGAGTTTGTTTCTTGTTTCATCCTGCCGATTGTGGATTTAGCGTTCTAGAAAAAATTAAAACTGGCACTCTTTGCTTTAGAATGTAACGATCGAGTCTTAATATTTGTTTCCTTGACATTTTACAAGTCTCTTTTTCTTGTTGTTTTCTACTTGGTACTTCTTGTTGTAATTAAGTTGACATTGTTGAAATTTAGAAAAGTCGAAATTAGAATTAAGCTTGGGACATCACATGGAGTTTTTCAAGCCATTTATGTGGGGTAATTGGGTCTATACACATCCCACAGAAGATACGCTGCTTCCGATTCTGGTTTTTCATGTTTTTGCCATTTATTTCTCGGTATCTGATATGCCACACAGGTCTTACTAATTGGAGGTTCAACTGGTACAATGCTGGAAGCCCTACAAGTTGTTGGTGATACCCATGATGGCTCTTTGGGTGAAGTAAGTTCTGCAAAAGTGAATGATTACTGCCAAGTATCACCAATTGGTGGAGGGCTATAATGGCTGATTTTTTTACTAGGAGCTTAGAGAAAGAACCTCTTTGAGGATTTTTCTGGAGCTTTTGTTGCCTGTAGGACAGTGTCACATGCACTTGCACCGCAAATTTAATGTTTCACTTGGAATAATCATTTGACCCACTATCTATATACTGATGCTACAGTGGGGAATTTACTGCTTGTTTCTCTACTATATAGGACAATAGGGAGAATTTAATGATCTTTTCTGTATGGGTATCAATACAATACGTTTGGATGCCCTTTGATGCTTGTTATCATAGCACGGTGAGCCTGCAGCTAATTCTGGTTTTATTCCAGCGTAATTTCCAGAACTCAGAAGGCAACCATAGCTATGTTGCCCCTATTTATGATGAGGATTCATCATCTGGGAACAAATTCAAAATGAAGCTTAAAGAGTTTCACAGGAGGTAATAATATTGAGAAACATGTCTTCCATCATTTCATCTTATGAGGTTTTGGTTTTGCTTGCTAGTTGGACTCATCGTGGGTTCACTTCTTTCTTTGCAGCGCTGCATCATTTACAGCACTGGATAAGAATTATCTCACTCCATTCTTTACGAGTCAAAATGGGGATGAAGATGACGATTTTGGTTAGTTAGCTTGGCAAATTCCTCTTTGATTATTATTCTTCCTTTCCGTTGTCTTGAGTAGGTCCATTTAGAATTAGTGGCATGAGAAGTCTTAAATAGATTTAGACCTCATTGCATATTTTAAATGATAGGACTATTATTGTTGGATAAAGTAAGAGAGCTAATGAGTACTGCCTAGGTATATGAGGATATATTGCCTCCGCTTGGACTGGTTATCCAACTGGTTGGGTCTTCCATTTCATACCAGCACATGCAGCTTGTGCTTTTGGAGTATGTATACAGCAGTCGCTTGTCTTAGACGTATGGACCAGGCAACGGAAAGTATGTAGCTTACATTGATGAATGAATGCCACCATGGTCCTGATAGATCGTTTTGGTTCAAACTGGGTGCCATTTACGCTGGATGCTGAACTGACTTGTAATTTTAGCTATGATAATTTACAAAAACCAACTGATGTGTGTGTACTAGTGTGTGGTCCAGGACAATGGATCTTTCCTGGGAATCTTTCTTCCAAGTTCTGATATGCTTGCAGTTCTTGTTCATCTATGATTCTTACTAGTGAATATCAAGATAGCTGCAAATCACCATGTTACATATTGCTAATTTTTGGATCTTGGTGCAGATGAACCCATGCCTAGTTCCCAGAGAGGGGGCTTCCAACATTGATATAAGTTGGCCAAAGCTTGTATGTGCTTTAGATTCGCGGTACCTCTCACCTGAATAGTGGCCGGAAGGATGAACGGCAGCTACACGACTATTACCGTAACCTCCGCGACTTCCTAACGTCCAGCACATGCCTTTTACACGACTGCGGACGTCAAGACAAAGAAGCATCTACTGTTTAGTGGAGCTTCTATAGCTGATGAAGAAAAATCTTTTATGTTCCCACCAAATTCATCGCACTATACATTCAGCTCATCGTAGATAGAATCTATTACTGTAGACCTTCTACAATCGACGGTATTGTTCTGTGCATATCTCATTTCTGGCGTCTCGAACTTCCTCGATCTCGACCAAAAATTCAAAATCAAGGATAAGAGTGACCTGCTGTATGTTCAGGTGGTAAGACTTTGTTTCTCTACTTGCATTCTTGATCATTGCTGTCTTGATCTCAACTCAATCAAGCTGTGAAAGATTATTGCTGGTATATGGAAATGGTACTGAGATGTGTCAGTGTTAGCTTGCAGTGCCACAGGTTGAGGAAATATATGCGTCTCTAGCCTGTAAAGCTATTCTCTACATGTACTGATCTCTAGAGCGCCTAAGATACTGAAAGAGTTGTACCGTCAATGTGTGGCCCGAAAATCCATAATAAAAATTCCCCGTCACGTATGTTTTCCTTGGCCCAGTTTCCCTGAAAACATCAGCCTTAATTCGGTTCTGAATTATAGCTCAAATTTCTCTTTTGTTTCATAATGAATAATAAACTTTAGCTCGAGTTTCAATTTTGGCCCAAATCTTTTATACTTGTCTCAATGAAAGACATCACTACATAAATCGAGCCTCTGTCAAGTTTTCACTCTATGATTTGCTTCGGGTTTCGATCGAATCGAATCACCGTAGAGCGAGGGAGGGTTGAGAGTAGAGAGCAGAGGGAAGGGAAGGGAAGGGAGGGGGATGGCGCTAAAGTTCTTGAACAAGAACTTTACACGTCGCGTATGTTGACACATATGCAATTTAATGACATTCTAGATGGAATGTCAGATCCAAGTTGGGGTATTGGTTTGAGTGTGTAAACATGTCGTAAAGGTAGCGGTTTGAATTTTTTAGCGAAATGAAAATTAATTTTGAGTAAACACGTAACGGTGAGATTTCTTACCTTATTAATCAAAGTCAATCGGCAGAACCGAAAGTTATTTCCCCCTTTATCTATTAACAAATGAGCATAGCTTTTTTCAATGAAATGTCCACAGAACATACTTGCCGGATAAGAAATATTTCGATTAGAAAAAAAATAATACAAATATAGCCAAATTGAAGTTATATAAAATAATAATGACAAATTATTACAATTACAAGCTAAAAACCAAAAAAAAAATTAAAAAAAAAATTACGTAAAAGGCTAACAATATAAATAACTCGAAAATCCGAAAGCAAAAGGCAGTCTCTCTCTCTTTTCTCTCTCTGCTTCTTCTTCGAAGGTCGGAGGAAGCCACTGCAATCCGATCGCATCGTCTTCGTCTTCGTCTTCATCGTCTTCGTCTTCGTCTTCATCGTCTTCGTCTTGTGCTTCGGATTTCGATCGAATCGAATAGCAGAGCGAAGGGGTTGAGAGTAGAGGGAAGGGAAGGGGAGGGGGATGGCGCTAAAGTTCTTGAACAAGAAGGGATGGCACACGGGGAGCCTGAGGAACATAGAGAACGTGTGGAAGGCGGAGCAGAAGCACGGCGCCGAGCAGAAGAAGTTGGAGGAGCTCCGCAAGCAGATCCAGGAGGAGCGCGACCGCGACGAGTTCCGCCTCCTCCAGCAGCAGGCCGGCATCCTCCCGTTCGTTCAAACTCTCTCCTCCTTTCCCTTCCCTTTCCTTTCCTTTGCCCTTTCGTGATTATTGCCTCGTCGTCCTCTTCTAATCGATCGGATTGATTTCGGCTCCCTGAATGAAAAGAGAGGGTCGAAATTTTGCGAATTTATGCTTCTAGGAAGCAAGGGACGTTGAGTGCGCATTTTGCCCCTAATTTTTTACATCTCTAGCGATTCCCTTTTGCGCGTGCTTAGGGTTTGCAATCAGTTGATCTAGGAGTGAGAAAGTCTAGATTGAGGTTGTCCATGGTTTGATTTTTGTCTGATGCGGGATTGGTCGAAGTCGCGGATTCTATGAATTGACCGAGTTCTTGAAATTTCGTCACGCGATTATCTTGTGTGTAGGAGGCAAGAGAGATTGGAGTTCCTGTACGATTCTGGGTTGGCCGTTGGGAAGGGAAGCTCCGAAGGAGTCGCGTTCAAAGCCCTCGATAAACCTAATGAGGCAGCATCGTCTTCGGCTGCGTCGGCGTCGGGGTCGGCATCGGCTAATCCAGGGGCTCTTTTTGAGGAGAAGCCGTGCTCGGCGAACGATACATGGAGGAAGCTGCATTCGGATCCTCTGCTTTTGATTCGGCAGCGAGAGCAGGAGGCACTCGCTCGAGTCAAGAATAACCCGGTGCAAATGGCCATGATTCGCAAATCGGTGAGTCCCGCTTTTTGCTTCTTTATTTCTTAATTGTTAGTTTTATTTTGATGCCGTTATTATCTACGTGAAGTGGAACGTATTTTAAACACTAGAAATGTTTTCGTTCTCCCAAGCGTATAGAATTTTAATGGCGATTCATGAAACACAGATATTTGCACTGTGGTGTGCAGAAGAAAGTGCATGCTCCTGGAATCTGGTTTTTAATGGACGAGGCAAGTTTTCCACTTGAGGAACAGTGGACTACAGTTGCTTGAATGCTTGAGTTAATAAAATGTCGGGAATCAGAGCATTGCATGACGTGTTGCTGCTGATGGTTGTTGAGAGGCAATTGTGTGGGATGGAAGATGTTGGAAGAGTAACGTAACAATTCTCATTGTTGTCTGTTGAAGGATTAGTCATTCTTTGTTATAGTGCCAGTCATTTGAGTTAATTTTTCACTCATGCTTGCTCAAGTGGGTTTCTGGAGACTGAGCTGACATGGACGCTATTATGGTATTGGAAGACGAAAATGCTGGATTAGAGAGAATTTGATATCTCGATTGTATTCTAAGGGTTTCTTGTGAAAGAAAACATCTGGGAGTTTTCTTTATGGTCAGAGCAAAATCTGAGAGAGAGTTGAAACTTTAGATGTAGTATCTGCACTATTTTGCTCAAAAAAGAGTTTTGACTTAATATTCTGCAGTTTCTTATGTTAAAATGTTAATGAAGCTTGGCTTCTATTTGAAATGAGATTGATATGACGTGTATTATGGTGTAGTAATCTTTGACTGTTATGCTAAATATAATACTTGGCTACGTTCAACTCTATTATGACAGTTCCATCTAAGTGGTCTGTTACTCAATATCAAGAAAAAAAGGTTATATCGAAGTCAAAGCACATGGATCAAATAATTAGCTGTTATATGACTACATTATTTGGAAGATCTCTTTGGCCACAGGGAGAGAGAGAGAGAGGGAGACAGAGAGAGAGAGAGAGAGAGATCCAGATGTTGTGGACAAGGAAATTCTTTTATTAGATATTACAGCTATGTCTCTACAGTTAGACATCTCCATGTTGCATAAATAATTGTAATATAAGTATGGACCCTTGCAGAGAATGTTTGATTGGTTACTCTTGACGGTTATTGTATCCAATTAGTCTTGCAAATGCAGAAAGGCCCAGGTTGGCTTTTCACTAAGTTGGTTGCAATAATAGGACGGGTTAAAAGTTAAAAAGTTGTTTTAATAAAGATTCCGAAGGCTTCCTATGTGTTTTATAGCCTGGGGCTATGTCGTCGTAATGAGAGTCAAGAATCTGTTTCTGAGAGAGATGTCTTTTGTAGATTGCATAGGTGTCGACTCTGGATTAGTGCAGGATGTCCTTTTATAGAAGATATATTAGCGTACGGAGGATGGCATATCAATGTTGGTCTTCAGAGGAAGAGTTACTACGATTTGAAGCAGTGCCTCATGTTTGCATTCATTTCTACATATAATTATTTATTCGAGATGAGTCTGAGCACAAGAGATTCTACTTGTTTACTCATATATAGTGCTTTTGACCTCCTCTGGAAAACTATTGACACAAGGCTGAGATTAATATTTTCCTCAAACCGTACTTCTCTGTACAAATTTTCTTTTCTTGTTCCTCAGTCTCACCATCTCTTTGAAAGAAGTTTATTGTCACTAATTAAAGCACTGTGAATAAGAGTAATCTATTTAGCTGACCACAGTCTCTGTTTATGGTGTTGGTTCTCATCCTTTTGTATTCACCTTCCTTTGTAGGTTATGGAGAAGAATCCTGATAAGGATCGTGACAAGAAGGAATCTCGGAAGAAACATCGGCACCGAAGTTCAAAACGTGAGAAACGTTCATCGTCATCTGAGCCAGTGGATTCCGATGATGCTTCCCATGATGACAGAAAGACAAAGAGAAAGAGTACTAATCAAAACTCAGACCGTGATGGGCGCCACAGAAAAGCACAATCAGATTCAGAAGATGATTTACGTGGGAGAGAATCTTCGAAGAAGCATCGACTCGACAACTCTAAACATGAGCGGTCATCAGATGGCTCCAAAGGTGTAAAACGTGGGAAGGATGATACTCGCGATCCCAACAAGAACTCGCACCATGAAAATAATGATCTTCAAAGCCGATCAAATCGTGATGCTTCTAGGAGGGAAAGTAGAAGCTCTGTCGATGCAAGCCGACACCGTGGGGATACCTTCCAAGGAGAAGGTAGGAATGAATCGCAATATAAGCGGCGGAATGCTGCTCCTAAACTTTCAGAAGAAGAGAGACTTGCTAGGCTGCGAGAGATGCAAATGGATGCTGAGCTGCATGAAGAGCAGAGGTGGAAGCGCTTGAAGAGAGCTGATGCAGACGATGCACGGGAGTCTAAGCGCGATGTGCCTTCTCAGGGCAGGAACTTCTTGCATGCTGTTCAGAAAAGCGTATACGGTGCCGAAAAGGGCGGTAACTTGACCATTGAGGAAAGCGTGCGTCGCAGGACATATTACTCACAGGGCAGGTCTGAAACAGGTGAAGGAAATGCTTTCCGACGGTGAATTGACGGTCATGTTCATCAAATTTCCTATTTCTCAGCGTTTTTGTATCAAAATATGGGCTTAGTCCCCTGTGCCAATTAGACTTGCAATGTAGCTTTATTTGGCTCATTTGATCAGCAGAGAACTGGATCATCATTATCAGATTTGTGGTTTTTTGTATCTTTGATGTATCTTTAAGTGCAATGTTTATTCTCTGAGCCACTTAATTGGATGCACCATATATACCTTATCGTCATTGTCCAGTAAGTTCAACGGCTCGTTCGGGCAGGAGTCACGAACCCAAGATCATGAACAGGGCGCATCACGCAGATGTGCACACCTTCTTTGCTTCTCTGCATAGTTGGTGTAGAAGATTCAAATTAGGACTTTGTTTGGGCATTGTCTCGATCTCGAGTTTGGATGCTCCCCTCGATGCTGCCGTCCAGAATTGAATGGCTGATAAAACTAGATGTATTTATCTCCGTGGATACATATCAACATCTTGCAACCACGTCTGGGACACCACACAAGCTGAAACATTAACGTAGCGATGAAGGAGATACTGCTCGAATGCTTGGACGCCCTGCATCCTTTTCTTTTCCATGAAATCCCGATGGAATCGGATGACGGCGATGGCGTCCTCGAAGCGGAAACATTGTTGGCCAAGCCGTGGGTCACCTTAATTGATGCATGAACGCAAACGGAGGCGATAAAGGCAAATTAGTTAAGCACAGTCCCTGCCGACAACTTTTTAACTTCTCAATAACATTCACGAAAGTATTCATCTCTACCATTTTTTAGAGTTGGTTCTAAGCTTCTAGCCGCACGTTTAATGATTTTTATTTCCTCTTTCCTTGAACATGCTGTATACAAAGACGTTTCATTTGTCATTGTCTCTCCTTTATTTTGGAGGGCTCGACAAGATATGTCTATATTTATATGTCCACAATCGTATAAAGATGCATGGTAAGCAGCCATTCTCTTGTTTTGTCATGTGAAGGTGATCTCTGTGGTCCAAGAATGAGTAGAACCTTGACCACCCATTTGAATAATTTTGGATTTGGCCCTGATTATTGACACGTACCTTGTTTTTGACTCTTTCCCATCTTATTACCAATTGATTAAGCCTACTATTATTTTCTTTTTCATTTCTTTTCCATTTTTTTCTATTTCTGAGGCATGGTTTGAGACTTTATCTGGTGATGACACCATACCGTCTTTTAGCCAAAATCAACAACCCTGCTAAAGCTCTCAAGTCCCAATCATAGCTGTTAATAGTAGGCCCTAGTACCTTTAATCTCCTGGAAAACTAAGCTAAGCTTCTTTCCAAGCCCACTAGTGTACTCTATTCAAGATTTGATAACTTACATTATGCAGAATCTAATCATGATTGTGACTTAGAAGGAGAACTTTATATTTGGTAGTATGGTTTTAGACTATCATCATGTACTTCACCTGTTTTTGTTGCCTGGTCATAAGTTTCCATGAAATTAGAGCTTTACCAAGCAATATCTTTTCGTCCTTATGTTTTTGGTGGGGTAACCACGTAGGGTTGCATGAGTAATATGAAAAACAACAGATAGCGGAATTCACCCCTTCATAATTGAGCTGAAGTACTGAGACTTTGTTTCCTTCCAATGACGGTCGAGATGTGATTGCCCGCGTGGTGATTTAGAAAAGGGAAAAAGAAAAAGAAGGAACAAACAAGAAAGAGGTGCTTGTCTGAGAACGTCACAAGAAGTGAAATTGACATCATCAACTTAATGGCGGTATTGGTTTGGAGTTGGACGAATGTGATGGCATTTATAGATTCCTAATTTTAACAAGGCTCATCGGCTTGCCTTCACCTTCTTCACATTTGTGCACCTCCTTTTCGGGTAACGAAATTTGCATACTTGTGTGCTCGTTGCAGGTGCTTTGATCTTGGCTTCTTCAAAGGGTTAGAGGAAGCTCGTAGTTAATTTGGATTTATTCTGAGGAATATGAAGATGGGTTCTCTTTTGTTCTTGATTTGCTGTCTACTGCTAGCAAGAGCTGCTTCACTTGCAGAGTTCAAAGGCATGTCCTTTCTCTAGCGTTCCTTCTCTTTTTCTTTCACACCATTAGCTTTCGATGAAAAAAGAACTTTGTAATTCTTGTCAGAGCACCCAGCTGGATCTTATATCGAATTCTTGTGCTTCGAACCCAAGGGGATCAGTAAATATCGAATAAGTTAAAACTAGTCCATTAGAATTGAATAATCTGTTCTGTCTCACTTCAAAAGCTTCTAAAGCATTATGTGCACTGAGTATGATTCTCTTGTAAAGAGTTTTTAGGACAGATTAATGACTTGAGACTATAATTTATGCACTTGATCACCAATACATTAGGCTTTTTAAGGCATATATAGACTTAGTGTGGCTTATTATGCATATACTTGATCTGGTTTTTGACATTTCTTTTACTGCAGGAGATGAGGCAGCCATTTATCTGGATCTGTACCATGTTGATGGCTCCAACTCTTCCCTCGGGAACAAATATCCAGAGCCTTTCGCCCATGCTCTTGCTCGCGATGAAAATCGCATCAAGGCTCTCAGGTACCGAATTACTAGCACAAAGGCGCGCAAACCTAGCATCATCTTGAACCAATCCATAGACATATTAGGCCCCGAATCAGTAAGCATCCCTGTGAACTCCGGCTTGTCTCTCGGGTCGGGCAATTATTACGTCAAGATAGGCCTCGGCATGCCTGCCAAGTTTTATGCCATGCTTCTCGACACCGGCAGCTCTCTTTCTTGGCTCCAGTGCCAGCCATGTGTAGTATACTGCCATGCCCAAGTCGACCCTCTGTACAACCCCTCCACTTCCAGGACTTACAAATCCCTGCCGTGCTCGACCTCTCAGTGCTCGTCACTCAAGGAGGCCACTCTGAACGACCCCCTGTGCGAGTATAGAACGGGCAAGTGCGTGTACACAGCGAGCTACGGCGACTCGTCCTACTCGATTGGATACTTGAGCCAGGACTCGCTCAGCTTGTCCCCATCCGAGACTTTGCCTCGTTTCCTTTATGGGTGTGGCCAGGACAACGAAGGGCTGTTCGGGAGGGCAGCCGGTATTGTAGGCCTGGCCCGCCAAAGTCTCTCCATGATTTCTCAGTTATCTTCCAAGTACGGAAATGCCTTCTCCTATTGTCTTCCAACGGAAACCTCCACTGCCAGCGGCTTCCTCTCTCTTGGGAGGGCTTCACTAGCGGCATCAGCCTTCAGGTTCACTCCCATGATAACCGAATCCAGAGAAAAGAGCTTATACTTCTTGCGATTGGGCGCAATTTCACTAGCGGGAAAGCCTTTAGCAGTCGCGGCTACACAGTATAGAGTCCCGACCATCATCGACTCAGGAACGGTCATCTCACGCCTGCCTAGTTCGGTCTATGCTGCACTCAAACAGGCTTTCGTCAAGATCATGTCGAGAAAGTACTCTAAGGCGCCGAGCTATTCAATATTGGACACCTGTTTCAAAGGAAGCTTGAAGACTATGTCCGTTCCACAGATGCGGCTTGTATTCCTAGGCGGCGCCGATCTTGCTCTGACACCTGCAAACATTCTCATAGATGTCGAGAAGGGCACTACTTGCTTGGCCTTTGCAAGCGGCTCTGGAGACATTGAAATCGCTATCATTGGGAATCATCAGCAAAAGACGTTCAAGGTTGCCTACGATGTCACCAATGCCAGGATTGGGTTCGCTGCAGGCGGCTGCCAATGATGGGCGGCGCTTTTCACTTATCGAATGTCAAGAAGTACGCAATTATTCATACATAAGGATGTGATGAAATACGCCGGGTTCGGGGGCAAAATAATGTTTGTTTTCTTGAAGTTGTGAACTACAGGAAAGTAACACTGCCGGCACTATCAAACGTTTCTTCATCATGTACATATATGATTTGATTATCTGAAGCAAAGTAAAGAAACCACATATCAGTGAAGATTTGCAGTAGCTACATCTGGATCTACGGCCTGGGTATCCCTCATTTGCTTTGATGTGATGGTATCTATATCTATGGAGATATAAAAAAACAAATGCATTTGGTTATCTGTCAATCATCTGAAGAAGCCTCTATATATTGACAAGTAGGATTTTGGTGAAGTACATTCGCAAGGTCTCTAGAATTGTTACCTTACAAGATCTGTCTATGTCACAGAACTTGATAAAAGAGTTTACATTTCAGTTCTTGATTAACTTTCAATTCACTGAAAATGGGTTTCGCACACAATACAAACCATGCTGTGCAAACTGTGACCATTAAATCGACGTAATTCCGTTGATTCGAATGCCCGGACAGCAAATTCTTTTCATAAACTTGCATCAAATGAAAGTCAATGATTGAACAAAACAGAGGCCAAACATGTAGTTCTTAGCCTCATCTACTGGTTCGTTTAAAATCGACAACTCACAAGTAGAAAACTAAGAATCTATTATATATTATGTATAGGTAAAGTCGAAACTTAGAGAGTGTTTGCTCTTGTGCTCGCCGCGTGACTTCTCTTTATCTTTGTGCTGGTCACTTGGTATTGTGTCGCCACGTGGCCCTATAACCTTATTGATTATTTACATGCCATCCTGGCACTCCTATATTTTATTTACAAATATTAATAATGGATAAAGTCAAAATTTAAACATTTTCAAATGTTAATATAAAAATTTATCTTAGAGTTAAACGATGTGTAGTCGTAATTAAGTACAAAAACATCTTAAATTGTGGCGAAGTTTCGTAAAAGTGATTGATGATGTTAAGATAAAAGCCTTTGTAAAAAAAACATAAATAGAGATGTCTGCACTTTAGTGTACCACAGAAACGCCCTGGCTCAGAGAGATCAAAACAATTCACAGAAGATCAGAAAGTTGAACTTATTCTATGGTGTCTTTGAGCCAAAGAGCTAGCTATGGACATCATAGCCAGTGCAGTGACCTCATGTGGATAAAGGGCCTGAGTGAACGTGCCAGCCATTGATGGGCACACAGCCTTGAGTGCTTATAGACTTTCCATATGTGAATGTGATAAACATAAAATAATTACAGGCCCACTTAATTTTAATACATATGTGTTTGGTTGGAAGATTTCAAAGTTTGAACTTTGATTCTTTCTTGTCTGTTATATAATGAGTCAATTTTCATCTCCCACGGCCTGCATTTGACTTTTCTGCCACCCTTCACACACAGCTGCAACACTACGTGATTTCTTTTCGATCTATCGCTCTGCTAAAAGTTCTCCCTCTGACACCTTTCGCTCGGTTGTATGCCTCCATGTCCACGTCTCTGCTGTGAACTGAAAGCCGAAGCCCTGATCGATCCAAAGTTGGCCACGACCGGCTCATCAGCAACCGGAGACTTTCCGCTTCGACTAACGGCTGTGTGGTGCGTTCATCTGAAAGATTCATCCATCTTGCTTTTGTTCCTTCTTTCCATGCACCACCAAGCGTATTGACTTCCATGAAGATCTCTCTCTCTCTCTCTCTCTCTCTCTCACACACACACACACTTAGCATACTGTAGAAAATGGACCTGAATGTTTCATTTGAAGAAGTTATCTGCTTCTTGTTTCCTAGGAATCTAGCTTTCTCTTTGCCGGCAAAAAGAATTGGTCTCAAGACAATCTATTCCCATATTCATGCATCACTCACTAGTCAGAAATCAACAAATACAACTAACTTCCCTGAGACCTTCTGCATTAATGCGTGTGAAAAATTAGGCAAGATCTGATTGTTCTCTTTCTGGCACATAAATGTCTGACAACTTCGACAAGAATTACTTCTTCTTTCCGCTCTAAGTTTCAAAGTTCAATTGCGTGATCTGATGCCGGTGAGGCAATGACCTCTTGACCATCAAAGTTTTAACTTGCGAGTGCACCATGAATACTAGGTCCTTGGAACCCCTAAGATTTCGCGCTTTTCAGTTTTCACTTAGCTAGAAAATTGGATGTGAACAAATTTTCTCTTTTTGATGAAGAAAAGTAAAAGTTCTTTTGTTATTGGAGAAAAAAGAAAATCCTTTTAAAGGTTTCTCTCCTTGAAAGATACTTGCTGAACAGAAGAGACCTGGAAGTTCATTTTGAAGATGAGCTGTTCTGTCTAGTCCTTGTTTCCTGGAAAATGAGCTTCCTTTTTGCTTGTCTAGAAACTTTAGAAAGTGGAAAAGGAGTGGGGCCTGTTTCCCATATTCCAATGTCATTGAGCAATGAGCAACCACCGCTATCAGCGGCAATAAAGAAATGTACTTGTTCAGGCAAAAAGCATAAAGAATACAGAAAATTCAATAGGCCTCCAATGTGCTGCCAAAAAACTACTAGCGACATTGGACTGACAAGATCACAACATTCGCCGCCTCGTTTTCGTATGTTATTCCATATTCAAAACCAACTCCAATGTCCAAACAACTAAAGTTGGAACTTCATATTGGTTTCTGCACGTTCTTACTGAGCGTTTGTCTTTCTCTAATGGTGGAGATGATTTTTTAATAGGCTGTCTGTTCAAATTCTTGAATCTAACTTACTCCATTCTGGAAATTTTATAGTAATTGTTTGCTGCCTTCCTTTTCTTTTCCCGAAACCACTTTGCTTGAATTGCTTGTTAGCTAGAAAGCACGCGTCCATAAGACATGCACTTAAACAAATGTAATAGACAAGAAAGTGACAAGAAAAGAACAATTATTCCAGGGCGAGGCAATGCGCACTTCTACTTGCTAATTAAATAATGGGTTAATGCGAATTCAAAAGTTCAAGACTTTTCCCCCATTTCAAGGAATTAAACCAAAGGTCTTATCCTTTGTGCAGATGTTATGAACTGATAACAATCATCAAGAACTTGACTTCTGCAGATACTTACCTCAATCAGAATGGGCTGCATTTCCTCAAAAGTAGTATCGCGGTCGATTAGCTACAGAGAAGAGCTCAATCGGAGCTCGCAGAGTACGGGAAAATCCATACTGGCGCTGGAAGATATGTTCAGCTCTAACAAGGGAAGCGACCAATTCCTCGCGCTTGTTTGTACTGCTAACACGGTAGCCAACCGGCTCCGGAGCGGAAGTATCAATTCAGAGTCAAAAGCAAGCCCCAGATCAACCGAAGCTACTTTCGAGATTGATAGAAACTGTGATTGCTCAGCAGTTTCAGAAGAAGGAACAGAAGGAAATCGCGCAAAGCCTGCAAATTCTCAGCTCATCCATGAAGATTCAGAATCCTATAGTATTGAACCTCCCAAACGGTCCCGAAGTTGGCATTCATTTTTTGAAGAAGAAATGCCTTCAGCTAATGCTGAGAACCATGGCAAAAGTAGAGATGGATCCGAGTGGGAGTACAAAGGCATAGGGCGGTCAAGAAGCTTTCATACGGTTGAGGAATATGATGCATTGCTGGCTAGAATTTTGTCAACAAGCTCTTCTCATGATGATAATGTCGCAGAGAACCAAGAGAAAATACCATACCCTGAATCTTCAATGCACAGCGCTCAGAACAAGTACAACATCAAGACAGTGGATAGAACACCACAAAAAGATGATGTTTTTGTAAATGATGAAGCTGTAAAAGATGACTTGATCACATTATTGGCTTCAGGATCAGAAACCAAAGAACTGATCCCAAGTTCACTGGAGCCCTGCACAAGCAATGAGTTAATTGCCAAAGATGATGTTGCTCAAGAAGAAAGATGCATGGTAAACAGGCGATTCAAGAGAAAGGCCATTGCAAGAGGACTTGAATCACTTGCAATCCCGACCATGATTGAATTCCCAGCAGTTGCAAGCTTAAGGGAATGGCTTCCTGCCGGAGGGCAAGTCTACTCTCCTGGAGCCTACACAACTCCTAAGTTCGGCACCTATTCTTTACCGGAGTCCAAGAATCTATGCGAGGCCACCGAGGACAACATCTTCACCAAGGAATTGGTGACCGCCTTTGAGGAGCACATGCAAGAACTAGAAGCAGAAGAAGAAACTATTCTCAAACAAATTGCAGAGAAATGGGAATGGGAAGGTGCAAAGGAAAATCTAGATGAAGTTGCTGCAACCTAGGTAGGATGATCTTTTGTGTGGGTTCGGATATTGAGCAAAGTGCATGGTCCAGTCTGAGGAGAACTTAGGATTCGTCTCTCAGAAATTAGTGCCCTGGGATTGTAAGATACAATGAAGTGAGAAATATATCTGAAAATGAAAAAAGGACTGTAAGCACACTCATGCTGCTGGTCAAAAGCACTGTTTCTCCGTCCAACTGCAGCTATAGTCCATGAACATGAACGTTTCACCACTCCCATCTCATTAAAAGATCCAAGAGGACACTTACAGGTACAGGTAGTCGTGCAATTAAAATCATGATTTTCTGAAAGAATGTTTCAATGATGACTACCTCGTCACTAAAGGAAGTTACTCGTACTACTAGAAGAATCTGAAAATGATATTTGTCCTTCAGTAGCAGACATGGACCTGATTATCTCAACTACGCACGGAGATAGCAGTTTGCTAGGGCTATAATCACACCATAGATCATTTTCGCAAGAACATAAAAAGGAGTTCTACGACACTATGTTAGAGAATCAAAAGATTCTTGAAAGGCAATATTCGGAACAAGACCCCCAATACCCAATCCAACATTCAAGTAGATCGCCAGTGTACTGAAGAGCCAAAAAGTGACAAGCACAAAAACAACAATAATCAAAGCAAATATAGTTCTGCAAATACAGAGGAAAACTTCAGACACTTACGTTGGGTTTCATTCACCATAATCTAGATTCTAAAACATGCTCATTAACATTTTTTGATTGCCTGCAAGTTTTTCAGTCATCACGTAGGTTCAGTTTCCAACACGCATCTTAACATGGCAGGACCTGATCTTTAACCCATGGCATACTTCTGTGTCCATGCCCTGGCCGTTTCCTCATATCGGCTTCTCTGGTGTTTGTATATGTGAGCAATTTCAGGGACTAGAGGGTCATCCGGGTTGGGGTCAGTGAGAAGAGAGCAGATGGAAAGGAGGACCTTTGAAATGGTCAATGCTGGGCTCCATTGTTCTTTGAGAATGTCAAGACATATGCTGCCATTGGAGTTAATGTTGGGGTGATAAACCTGCAGTAGACAGAAGAAATAGGGACACAAGAATGTCACGATGCTAAGTCTGATGAAACTCCAACAAAAACAAATTTAGAGGACACCCCTATTCACAAATGATAAGAGTTGCTTCAAAATCAAGAAGAATAGCTTCATTGACATATACATCATTGCCCTGCATCTCATTTCTTTGGACAAAAATCAAGACCCTCTAGCCAAGCCCCAAAAAAGATGCTACTTTGACGTGTCCATCTCTCGAGTAAAAAAGCCTATACAAGTAATCAAGACAGTGACTAGAATAAGAAGTACGAGCAAGCGGGATCTGCACTGATTGATAACAGTTTGGGAGAGCATGTAGGTGCACCTTCTTAACGAAGGCATAATTTGTTTTATACCATGCACAAACATCAATCGAATAATTTTAAGCTTGTTAATACAGGAAGTCTAAGCTGAAATTCCTACAAAACAACAACAATTTATGCAATAGAAGCAAGCATGAGGACATGAAATACTGTGCTAAGGGCTGAGATGCTCTCTGACCAGCAGGATACAGCCTATCAGTTTTCCAACATATAAATGTACAATTTCCAGTTCTCCTTTATAATCACTCATACAAAGTACCTAGTTGCAGGGACAATGACTTGGTTCTACAATTCATGCAATCAAATTCAGAAATAAGCACGACCGAACTATTTAAATAGAAGATGCACGTGAAAACAAAAACCAGCATTACAGAAAGACAACAATATAGCAGACAAAACAAACACTACATACAAGAAGAGGTCATGAAATAACCTTGGTTTGGAAGTTGACTTTGGGAGGTTTAAATGGGTAATCGGGTGGGAAATGGATCATTATGAAGAATACACCACCGGCATACGGGCTATCGTTGGGCCCCATGATGGTTGCTTGCCAGTGGAAGAGGTCTTCTCCCGCCGGCCCAGCACTACACGAGGTTGGAGGGTCTCTCTGCAAATCCTGTAGTTCCTTCTGAATTCTCTTGCTAGCCATCAATTCGTTCTATTCCAAAACCCAAAAGACGTTAGCACTGAAAAAGGATTTGAACATATGCATATATAAAATTTCAAGAACTTCATAGGAGTTGTTGAGCTCAAATGCTTATCAAGTCCCAAGTGAAACTAAATGACATAATGATTCACCTGAGTGAAGAACAGGGAAAAGGTAGAAAGCAAAAGAAGTAAAAAAGGTCCAAACTTTACAAGAATTGAACACGCACAAATTAAAGGCCGGTGTTTTTTTATTGAGACAATATCCGAAACCCAACTGACCCCGAGCACTGAAAGTGCCAACACACGGGAGGAATTACCGTCTGACCCAGAAACAAAAGAAACAAGTCAACCCCAAACAGATAAATATCAACTCTATCACACACCATGTAAGCTTAAGGTGGCAACTAGCAAGAATCGGATCTGAAGCATAGAAGGCCAAGCTAAACTAACGAGAGAGAGAGAGAGAGAGAGAGAGAGTATTAGAAACAAAACATACCAGGAAGTAGAGAGAGATTCCAGGAAGAAGAAAGGAGAAGCGAAGTTGAGTCTTGACTTCGATGAAGAGAGATGTGGGATGATGAAAGATTCAATGGAGGTTTGTGGACACAGAGGAGGGAGGGAGGCAGTATCTGCGTTGACTAACCATCATCATGTCAATATTAAAATGTCTTATCCGAAAAGCATCTTTGCTTATTTCCACCGGATAAGTAGAGAGCAACTTGTCTATGTTCAAGGAATTTCATCCAGAAACTTGAAACTTCCTCAGCCAGTTGCCTTTAACGTTATTAAACTTATTATACAGTGGGCAGCTGGCAATATATGGTGAAATTCTGCTGCATGCCATTCAAGCTTTGAGAAGATGGAGTTTTGGCTTTCAAAGGTTCAGTGCGATAAGTAACGAGAGATATCACTTATCTCTAAAGGTATACATAGTACATACAGATACTTGATTACATGACAGAGGAAAATATACATTTTTAGATTTTTAAGAAATTTATACATTGTACTGTGCTTTTTGAATTATGATGATAAGATCACAAAAGTAACAAAGTCGTAGTTAAAAAAGTTGATTAAATTCTTAGTTCTCTTTTTAATCTATAAGCCATATTATGCATCTAATTGTAACTTAAGAAATTCAATGTTACAAAAATTTTATAAATAGAAAACCTTATAGATTTAATTATTACTTTCTGTGTTACACATAAAAATTTCATGCAAGATCTTATCAGATCAAAATAGACAAAAAAATCACATTACAAGCCAGCATATTGCTATTGATAAGAAAGCATAAATTGAAAATAGATATTACTAAATAATTAAAACAGAGCAACTTGCAAATAAACAATATATAGTTTGAGATAAACTCTTAAATTAATATAATAAGGTTAAAGTCTTATAGTCCTTATATTATCAAACAATAAATTTCAAAGAGTGGGTCTTCTTTATCTTTGCAAAGCACGAGTCTTTCGACTAATGTATTGCACGATGCATAGTTGGCAATAAATGGTGAACTGATTCCTGCTCTAGAGTTTGTCCTAGAAATTATACACTTGTAGTTATAGTCTTCACCCAATTATACTTAGGAAAAAAGCCACAAAAAATCCCAAACTATGCTCATTGTGACCCATTTACCATAAATTCGTTTTTTTTTTGCAACGTCAAAAACCTCAAACTATATTCATTGTAACACATTTACCTAAAACTTTTCCATATGACATAAAAAAAACCCAAACTTGGACTTATGTGACACATTTACTCTTCGTCAAGGTTCTGTTAAGTGATTTTTCAACCAAAACAACGTCATTTTTATTTCACTTAAGCCACGTGACGTCATGTCAACACAGTTTGCTTTCTGACGTCCATATATGCAAATTTTTAACGGTTCTCATTGACAAAATTTTGACAGAGTGTAAATGTGTCACACAAATACAAATCTGGGTTTTTTGGTGTCACGGAACAAATTTCGAGCAAATGTATCACAATGGACATAATTAAGGGTTTTTTATGGCATTTGCCCTTATACTTGTAAATTAGATCTTTTGAATTCCCAAATTACAGTGCATTTCGCTGCTAAAGAAAACGAATGAATGAGATACACTATTGTGGCCATAATTGTTGCCTTGAGGGCTCAAATCAAATCTTCTGGAATTTATTGAAGCCACCTCCGTCACAGTCCATATTCTTGTTAATAAACTCGCTATATAAAAAAGAGTTCATACAAATAACTTTATCCTCGTCAGCTTATGGCTTATTCACTTAAAAGTATATGCAAAATGTCAAACTCATACATTAACAGTGTTGCTTATAGCCTAAAGCAGTATCAGTACATTCCTGTGCGTATAAAATTTATAATTCCGTTGACTACAGCATTCAATAATAAAATCAGAAGCCAGAAGCCACAACTCAAATCAAAACAAACGAAAGTCATGTTGAAAGCGAAAGTCATCCTAACCCAGGTTTTCTGGCTGAAGTTTAAACCATTTTCCTCCGATGTAAATATACTTAGGCCAGAAACGAAAATGCCGACATCAGCCATCGGGGCTGACAATGCCCAAAATGGCAGCTACATAACCAAAACTGTTGATCCTGAGTCACGCTGACATGAGTTCCCCAAAATCCATTACTTCAGAGACCATTGCAATCACATGGGGTTGATCACATGAGTTCCATACCAACTTAGATGAGCCAAAATGATAGTCTGACTCTATTTATATCCTCATGAGCCATAAGAGTATTGCTAATGAGAAGAGAGCAGTATAAAATATCGGAGAAAGTGAAAAGAGTCAAAAACATCCACGAATTTCGACAGAGAAAGTGAATAGGGTTCTTATTGGCAATGAGAAGAGTTTGCCTCAATCTTCACCCAAACACCACCAACCTTTACTGAATACATCTCCATTATTCTGCAAACAACAGACCACTCATCACCATAAAGCTCTCTCTCTCTTTCTCTTCTCTCTCTCAACCTTCCGATGAAGAGCCAGTGTTCTATGACCTAAAGAAAGAAGACAATGATACACCACGAAGTAACAACATATTTGTCCTCTTACCCTACATTGTAACAAGAAATATATCACCTATCTACATGTACACCATGCGCTGAAGCCACTACAGCCATGTTGCAAGAAATTCTATATAATTGCAGGTATATAGTTAAGAAACAGTGCAGGCATCCCCTCACAACATGGAGTCGAGATATGAATAATTCCTGCAACGGTTATACTGAAGGAGACTGCCATAAGTGCGATCCCACACCCCAATGAATAGCGATTCAGTGTCGGGACTGAAAGATACACCAGAGATCTCGCCAAAAAAATCGATCTCCTGCTCCTTCTCATACCCACTCTTCACATCATAGACATGGACAAAATCAGCAGGCTCTGCCATGGCCATAAATCGCCCATCGGATGTGAATCGAATGGATCGGATGGCTCCAAGGTTGCCCTTGAGTACAGCAACAGACTTTGATAAGTTGCGAATGTCCCAAATACGGCAAGTCTTGTCTTGGTTTCCAGTGGCAAATATGTGACCATCCGGATGCCATGCAGACGCAAACGAGAAATCCAAGTGCCCTTGTAGCGGCGTAATGGTCTACAATTGCGAAAGCTTTAAGTTACACCATCTCGTTGGGGAAAATCTTATCCAAAATCCTCAAGTAGCAATAGAGCATGATTAGGATTTACAGGCATTGTACTCATGTTTCTTGTTTACATTTAGATTTAACTTTTTCAGGGAAGGGGGCAGAGGGAGGGATAGAAAGAGAAGGGACAGAAAGTAACTACCTTTCCTCTTTGAGAATCCACCACTATCCCCTCAGGGTTGTCACCAACAATGATCAGGAGCTTACCATCAGGACTCAGAGAAGTATGCTGTTACACGAAAACCTCAAAAGATTAGCAAGTAATCATTAGCAGGTAGACTTCAGTGAAAAGAAAATGATGGACAAAGGAAGCATTGGCCAACAGAACAAGTAGCAAATTTCAACTTTCACCCAAAATCCAGCACTATATTACATGGATGATGTATGGTCTTCTACAGACACTAATGCATCATTATTTCCTGACTTGTATATCTACCGCACAAAAATTAAAATTCAGTTATAACACAAAAGAGTCTTGCTTGATGAGCCATCCTAAGTTTTGCACAGTTGAGCAGGTCAATGAGAAACTTCTACATGGAATTCACAGGATCTTTAGATGTTTAATTCATGGCCTCGCAGGCACTCTTTTCACTTCAATAAATGTTCTACTCCTGTTATAGAAGTTGAAAAAGCTGGAAAAAAAAAGGGGGGCAAACATCTTGTCCTTCTATAAACACCGAGTCTAGATGCATAACAGAGAGACTACAAGAAGTTCCATATCCCCAAGTTCCTTTTTAAATAAATACTTAGGCAGCTTGGTCACAAGGAAATCATGGTTTTTCTAGTTCCTAAAATGCAAATCATCAGCGTTCCCACAATTTTACCATGCCATCGCTCAAGGTTGATGATAAGGGCAATCCCTGCTGATAACTCAACAGTTTACAACAACACGAGATGATAAAAACTGAAGGGCCCCTCTACAATGGCTAGGCAGCAGAAGACAGATGAGTTCCAAATGCAAGCATAATGATTGCATATAATCAATTGCAACATGAGATGAATTCAAGATATTTACTTCAAGCCAGCTGAAGTAATTAGTCTATGTCCAATAAAGGTTTAGACATCGTATTTTGTGCGAGGAGTCACTGAGAAATACTTACATTCACCGGCCAAGGAAAGGAAAAATGTTTGGAAAGCATAAATTTCTCCATGTCGAAGTCTCTGACTCCACAGTCATTATTTGATGCCATGAAATGTACAGCGCCACTGACAATAATGCATTAAGGAAATTTAAGGACTTGAAATGAAGAATCCACCTCAACCATGCATTATGTAAATTCAAATAAATTCAAAAGAATAGCGTGTAGAGACACACTTGCATATCTTTGTGCACACCTGACACACACATCCACGAAGGAAATAATCTAGTAAACATATATCAAGATGAGAACAGAATGCATCAGGAAGGCAACCTGGGAGAATCGTAAATCTCAACTGCATTAGTGATAGCATTGTCATCATAAGTTGTTCTGCAACAGTAGCTAACACCAGGACGATCTAAATGCTGCACCCAGAGAAGAGGATCATCAGCAGTCACCAAAATAAAAGATGTTGGACTTGCAATAGAATAATAAAGAACAATTCTGTCATGAGAACCTAAATCTACAATCAAACTGCAAATAAGGAACTTGTATGAATAAATCCAGCTGGGGTTGTACAAACATTTGCTCAGCCAAGAATTCAACATGAATGAGAATTATAACTGCACACCAACACAAAAGAAAACAAAAGAGTACACTGAATATAGATAAGTCAAACAAAGAAATAAAACATCGTGTTTGCAGTGGTATGTGTCAGGTTATACAAGCAAACTTAGTATCGCCCTAAATGCATGTGCTCATAAACTTTTGCTAATTAAATATTGACAACTGTAAAGGAAACACAAGTATTGAGATGACCTTATCGGTGCTTTGGCCCAAATATTACCTTACAAATAAGCTCCCCCTGAAAACCACCAGCAATCAGTAATTTATCCCGTACTGCAAGAGTACTGACTTGAGTCTGTGTAAAACCCTCTAAGAGACTTCCAGGGTGTTTCTACAATGAAAAGCAATAAAAATCCCAAGACCGTTTTCATTAAATAAGAATTTCCAAGAGCATAAATCACTATGTTCTGCATATAATGCAACATAATATTCCTTTACCTCACAAGGGGCTACATGTCCATAAACATCAAGCACTTCAGTCTTCTTGCAAGTCAATGACGACCAGTGAATGATCGAGAAGTGGGACATAAGGAAAACATCATGCTTTGTTGTGGACCAAACCAAGTTTCTCAACTGCAATTCCAGGAAATAGCTAAAATCAAGGTTTTAACAACGAAAATTCAGGGAAACAAGACATGTGTCAGGAATTTCTGAAATGAAAAGAGAAAAGAAATAGTTTGACAGCCACGTCCCAAATAGCAATTGGCAATGACAGCCCCAAATTGGAGGTGTACCCTAAAGCAAACACAAGTTCCACTTGCTATGTAAACTTCAAGTTTCAAGTTGGTTCCCCCAAATAAAACAGGAGCAAAACATCATGATCAAACGACAAACAAAAACAAAGCCTAATGCTGTTGCGTCCTCATTCATCTCAAAATCCAAAATATGTTCACTCAATCATGCATGAATACATTTCACCACAAAATGCATTTGCCAATACACATACTCGCACACAAAATGATATGTGTTTGTTAATGAATAGCTAGCTGTTGTCCTAAATCATGTCGGATGTCAAAAACCAGCACAAGAAATTAATAAGTATTGTGCAAAGCAAATCCATATGTTCAGGGACTATACATGCAGAGATATGACAGGAAGAAATGGTCGCATGCAGTGAAGAACTTCGTGCAACATTGTCAAGCTCACTCTAACTCTATTAAAGTTTAAGCACCCGATGCACATAACTCTATCTATTCAACGTTAGGACTCCAAAAAGTAACGGCTAACAGCTCAGGGAAAGCATGAATTCTACAGTCTACCCATTCCTATAAGATGTCCCTCACTATCAGTTTGGTGTCATGACATTAAACCTAGAATCAATTTCTCATCCAAGAATGTATGTACATTCACAAGTTTTCAAAAGAAATTCCTGGTCGACCAGAGCACACCTGCTAAAGGAAAAGAGGATATTCCACTACATGAAACTTGGGGAGATAACAACAGTAATCAACTTGCAGAATTCAAAATCCTAACAACCAGAAGATAAAATCACAAGACAGAAGTATAAACATACTTGAAAATGAAGGATTGTCGACTTCACAGATCTTGTGTTTCGCCAAAATTCATAATAGTTTCCACCTTTTCTTGTGGGTTTGCATTCCTGTTTAGTAGAATAAACATAGAATAGGATGACGTAAGTCAGCCCGATCTCCTTTAAAGAATTACTACCCAGTACCGCAGAACTTAAAAGATGTTTACCTTTTCTGAACTTTCTCCGGATTGTGGTACATTTTCATAGTTCTTGTACTGCTCTATTCTAGTTTTTCTGTATTTTTCACGAGTGACGCTCAGTCTTTCCCAAGGAATCCCCTGGATATCTTTACCTCTCCGAGCATCAGCAGCAGAGGTATCGGTAATCTTATTATCCTGCCATAGCCAACACAATCCGTCTCACTACAGTTCTCAATTGATATAGGTGATGTTACAATGATCCAGAAATAGCCCCGACTGATAAGCACAAGCTTTTGCAAGGAGAAATCATCATGCAGCTAGACAAAAGCAGAAAGAAAAACAAAAAAATCCAGAGAGCAGGAGGAGGAGGAGCAAAACTAAGAGTTAAGAATGCGAACCAGCTGATCATATTCATCATCCTCATCGGTGTCTGAATCGCCCATCACTCTTTCATGGAAGTACATATCATCTTCTACTTCTCCCACATCGTAATCATCTGCTGCGTATTCCATCGGATACTCTTGGTGCTGAGACATGTAGCCCTAACAACCCTAAAACCAAAAGCAACATCGCTTCAGCTGGACTGCACCCAGATAGTCTAAGCAGCATCGAACATTATCAATCAGACATCATCCAGAAACGGATGGCAAAGAGAAGAAAACCACAAGACATATGTAACTCAATTCACAGCGAAATGTCGACCACCGAGTACAAGCCCTCAAGTTTGCTAGTCATACACCAGTTCTTGTGGTCAAACAGCTCGAAAATGCTGATCCGTGGAAGCGGGATTACAATTTCGGTATAACCATTATCATTCGAAGGCTCGTCGAGATGCTAGCATAATCCTCGAACAATTTGCAAACTCTGGAATTCTTAGCATCCTATCCCACTACACAACATCAAGATTGCCCAAACATCGGACGACGAAAACAAAGGTTCCGATAGGTAACAAATGCACCAGAAGATACTTTCCGACGATAATCAACAATCTCCCACGAAATTAATCAACCGAGTACCGGAAAGACTCCTATTTCAATCAAGCAACCTAGCAACAAAATCCAATCTTTAAAAACACTAACAAGCCAAATAATTGGGGGGGGGGGGGGGGGAACCCAAAATTTACATACCAGCACACATCAATATCAACACAACACGACGAAACCCACGGCCATTTCTACACATGACCATCAATTACCCAGCACATACGCCGGCAAGTTAACCCAATCACGCCCCAAAACATTAAAAAAAAAAAAAATTTGAAAAACGAAACCCCACCCACCAACAGAAAACAAGAAAGAAACCCTAAGCCGCGCACCGCCGCGGCCAAAAATCCCGGGCGAAACCAATCGGCGAGCGGGAACGAGGAGCGCATCGGGGACGCGAATCGAAAACCCTAACCCAATTCCCCCCAAATCGAATCCGAATTGAACTAGATCTCCCCGACCCAGAAACAGCGACCCCCCCCCACAAAAAACAGACGGAACGAAAAAATTCGGGACAAAATTCTGCGGCCGCTTACGCGAAATTGAGGAGGGAGGGGAGGGGGGGCGCGAGACGAACGAATCCGAAATCGGAGACGGTGGGCAATTTCCCTGGGGGGGAATTTTACGAGAAATTTCGGGGGGTTGTTGGTTTTTACTTTGGTAAGGAATTCAATGATCCGGAGGATTTCGCTGCATCTCTGCCCGATGATTGCCGATTGGACCACCCCCGCCCCCTCAAACCCATCACCATCGCGCTCCGTTTTATCATATATATATATATATATATAATTTTTATTTTCCTTGCTCGTTTTTGGGGAGAGAAGATGAAGGCGGGGTTTTTTTTTTTTTTTTCGCATTTGTGCCCCGGGTCCTTTCGGGATAAGCTTGGCACGACCTTCGGGCCGGGTCCAGGTCCGGTCGGGTCCAGCGTATTGGGCGTTTCGATACGATCGAATAGAAAGCCTCGATGGCGCCGTGTTCCAGGAGGAGCCCAAGCTATGAATTTGAGTAAGTCATCCTCTATTTGTTGCGGGTTGAGGACTCCTTCCCATTCCCCTTTTTCGACCTCCGAGTCGTATTTTGTTTTTTACATTTATGCCCCCGATTTTTCAGGATAGGCTTGGTGCGACCTTTGGGGCGGGGCGGGTCTAGTCGGGTCCGGCATATTGGGCCTTTCGATACAATCAAATAGAAAAGCCTCAAACACCATATTCTACGAGTCCAAACTATATGATTGAATAAGTCTTCCTTTATCTGTTGCAGATCGAGGACGATCCTTCTCCATCCCCTTCTTCAAACTCGGATTCACATTTTGCTTTTACATTTGTGCCCTTGATTTTTTCAAGATAAACTTGGCACGATCTTCGGGCTAAGTCGAGCCAGGTTAGGTCTGGCATATTAGGCCTTTCGATATGATCAAATAGAAAGCCCCAAGGGCATCATATTCCATGAGTCCAAATTATGTGATTGAATAAGTCCTCCACTTAGACATGGCCACGGGCCGGTTTCGGCCCGGAACTGGCCCGGGTCAAACCCGGGACCGGCCCGTTGACCGGGCCCATGATTCGGAACCGGAACCGGCCCGTGGCCTAAGGGCCCGGTTCCGGTTCCAAAAAAAAAACTGCAGATAAGTGGAGAAACTCTTTTTTTTTTCCAAAATTTGATTACAATGTACATTTTGATTACATTTTATATTGAATAATTCATTATTTCATAATTTGATAATTCATTATTTTTTTATTTCATAATTTTTTATTTTTTTTTACCGGCCGGTTCCGAACCGGGCCGGAACCAGAACTGGCCCGGAACCGCCGATTCCAATTCATACATGACCACGAATCGGAACCTGTGGGTCAAGGACTCCTTCTCATTACCCTTCCTCAAACTCCGATTTGTATTTTGTTTTTACATTTATGCCCTCGATTTTTTCTAGATAAGCTTGGTGCGACCCGCAGGTCGAGTTGGATTGGGTTGGGCGATCATACCGCTCTGGTCCACTTCTCGCACGATTCGGGCATCCGGAGCCCAATTCCTATTTTCCCTTTGACACAGATGGTCCATAAAATTTGATTTAATGCGCAATATCGTCCCTTGAACTTTCAATTTATTTGTGGTCCCTAAGCTATTAGTGAATGTCGAATCTTGTTACTGTTTTCATGAGAAATGTTCAATGTCGTCTTTCCGTTAATGTAAGTTGGCGGAATTAGGTTGTTGTGGCTTCCAATTAGGTCAATTTTGAATGGTGAACGGAATGTCGCACGTGAATTATTCGAGTAAGATATTTATCTCAAATAAGGATGTAATAATCCACGTCGTCAAATAATGATGAACTTGTTAAAGTCATAATTTTTGTCCTTATGGACATGTTGACTCGTCATTTTTAAGAGTCCGACTCAGTGTATACTACTAATTCACTTCATCAAATGACGTCTAATATGCCGTTTGAACAAATAGAATGACTACGTAGAACATTTGGCAATAGTTTAGGGATGCATCGAGCAAATTAAAAATTCAGGAATGACATTATACATTGAGCCGAAAATTCGAGAGCCAATTTTGTTATCTTCCCTTTCTCTAGTTTTGCAAAAAAGAGGAAAAATTGAATGGATTTTTACTCCTTCAAAGCTCCCGTAGTTTAGAAAATGGGGTCTCTCGTGACAAGCTTGAATACCACATGTCACGTGACTCGTACCTACTTTTCATTTTTTTTACCCAATTTCTCCTTTTCTTCTGCAAGTGCAATTATCTCTCTGACTTCAACCCCAAATTTGATCGACCAAAGAAAAAAAAAAAACCACAAATTTAAGAGAGAGGGAGGTGAAACATCAACCCCATTCTATCTCTACCTTCCAAAAAGCTGATGGAAAAAAAAATAAAGAGTTGGTTAAACGTCATGTTCTCTCTTTTTCTTTTTTTTTTAACAAGATGAGATGTGCTCAATTGGAGACTTTTTTTACCCCTCAATTAACCCGCGTCATAATTCACAGCCGTCGAAATTTGGCCGGCCATATCACTTAGCTTTTTGCCTTCTCTATCGATCTACTCTCGAAGAAGAGAGCTACAAAAATGCCCCGCTCGACCGTCCCCGCTCGACGCTCCCGTCCCTGTCGAGAACTCCATGCTTGCGGAGCCCAAGAGGAGGAGGAGGGCGGCGAGTGCCGAGCGGGGTACAACATCGGAACGCGCGCGCACCAAATCTCCCGTATCCACGTAAGCAGCGGCTACATCCATGAGCGGGGTAAAAAAAACCGAAACGACACGGCACAGTTGGGAGCCGAATGCTAGCATTCGGTACTTAAATTGTCTTAATATAATAAAATCGGTCCACCGTGGCCACGCAACCAAATGATTATATATACACTGCTCGAGATGCCTAAAGGATTTGTCTCTGACGATTTGAATGGCCGATCCACTTGCGCAAAAAAAAATTGCACGAAAAAACACTTAATGAGAAAATGACACAAACAGTCCCTGATCTTTGATTCGATGTGCAATTTGGTCCATGAACTTTTAATTTGTTCAATATAGTCCTTGAACTTTAACCCAATGTTCAATATGGTCCCTGAACTTTCAATTTGTTCAATGTGGTCCCTGAACTTTTGGTACATGTTCAATATAGTCCCTGAACTTTATAAAAATGTTCAATGTAGTCCTTCCATTAATTCAAGTTCAGGGACTATATTATATATTTTCATATATTTTAGGTACTAAATTGAATATTTACTAAAAGTTCAGGGATCAAGTTGAAAAATTGAAAGTTCAGGGACCACATTGAATATTGGGTTAAAGTTCAGGGATCACATTGAATATTGGGTTAAAGTTCATGAACCAAATTGCACATTAAGCCAAAGTTCAGGGACTGTTTGTGTCATTATCCCAAATGAAAAGTATTGAAAAAAAAAATAAAAAATGAAAAACGAGAAATGTATGCCCGGGCGAGCACGTCAGACGAGCGGCGGAGCCCTTCTCCTTCGAAAACGATATTGCCCCATCGTACCCGTCCCCCCGTCGCCCCCGTGGGCCCCGCCCCGCATTGAATCTGGGCCCCCCTCAACCGACTTGTAAATTCCGGGGCGCAGGGCGAGGGCAAGAGTGTCTTTTCGACCGGCCGATGTCGCGTGATGTGATGCGGTGCGCGGTCCCCTTCATTTGGGGGAGAAGCAGTTTTGCCATACATGCGGATGCGGTTCGTTCGATTTGCGTCTTGAGTTGAAAATTGTTTCCCTCTTTTCTATTCTTGAATTTCGCAAACCACGGCATTTTTTTTTCTGTTCATTTTCTTTTACCTGGAAATATCTTACATTTTTTTTGTCGATATTTAAATTCTTATAAGTTGGATATATCCAAGAAAATTTTAAAAGCCTCCTCCTTTTTTTTTAACAGCGAAATTAGATGGCGTGCATTATTTTAGTTCCAATCGATGAATCCGAAAATAATTGGCTTTCCTTTAAATTTTATAAAGACGGTTTTGGTACGCAAAGAATTTAAAGATCTACTTTTGCTCGACTTCTTTCTTCGTAAGGCCGGTCATTTCGCAATAATTGCGTCTGCATCACGTTTATCCTGAATTAATTTTCGTGACACAAAAAAAAAATCTCAAATCGATATACCCGGGACAAATATAACCTCCATCGGCTTCCGTCGAATATCACATGTGGCAGACAATTCAAATGATCGGCGCGCGACGTGAATTCACCGTAGAAAATTCAGCATCATTAGATATCCTAAACAACGTCGATTTGAGAAGCCATGTGTTGAAGAAAATGAATCGAGATTAGGGAATCTGCTAAGTTTTCCCCGGGATCTCCCTCATGCTTCCAAAATCCCTAATCTGGCCCTTATTTCGCGCGAAGGTTTTGGTAGATTGGTCAATGGTGCATCCAAATGAAATTTTTTTGTGCAGAGCAAATTAATTCGAGATAGATGTATCGCGAGCGTATTAGCTTGGGGATTTTCTAGGATACAAACATCAGCGAAAATAAACGGTGCTACGAACGCATCGACTTAGAAAATTTTTGAGATATTAATCCTTCTTTTTGTGTGTAAATAATATACCCATGACCATGATTGCAAAGACGCCCTCTATCGATAGAAAGGACGAACGTAAAAGGACAAAAGCTATTTTAAATTAAAAATAAACGGACACAAAAAGAAAAGAAGAAAAAATTGGAAATTAAAGTGGATTTTTCTAATAAAAGGAAAAAGTTTTTTTTTACAGACGATATACGGAATTAGCAAACGAGAGTTTAAAAACGAAAAACAACAGCAACAACGACAAACACAAAGGTCGTAGCTCGCTTTTCTGTCCTCGGCTTCTCTTGTCTTCTTCGAATTCTCGTTGGTCGTGCAGGTTCTTGATGCGCTTGAGATTGTGGGAGGAGGGGTAGGAAGGAGGAGGAGGCGATTCGCATTTTGAGGCGAGACCCAGTGGAAGGTCGGGGGAAAATCGAGGTGGGTGTGGTGTGGTTTCTTCTCTCGGGCCGAGCTGATTCTCGCCGGCGAATCGCGGGGGAATGATCGGTTCTTGGGTTGTCCGGCGGTAGCTCGTTGGGTCCGGCGGGTTCTTGAGGGTGCGTGGGGGCGCAATGCGGCGAGGAACGTTGCCGGGTTCGTGGCGGGTGTAGGGTTCCGA